ATGTGTTGTGCATCTTCCATCCTAGTACCATTTGTATTTGACCCTTTTCCATTCCCACTTCAGCACCTTATCCAGCCTAGTTAGTCACACCAGCCTATATTTGCACTCAGACTTCTCTGCATGCATAATATTGGTAATGGCCAGTATTTCCCAAATACCTCCTGTGTACCGGGCACTGTACTAACTGCTCCTTATGTACTGATCATTTCAATCCTTACAACTACTCTCTGAGATTATAGTAATATTTCCATTTCACAGGTAAAGAAATTGAGGCACAGAGAGATTACATAGCTAAGAGGTAGTGGAGTCAAACAGCTATGAGATGGTCTCAGTTCTTAAAAAGTTAATGTCCTGAGATGCTGGGTGGCTTAGTTGGTTAAGCATCTGCCTTTGGCTTAGGTCATGATCCCAGGGTCCTGGGATCGAGCCCCGCATCAGACTTCCTGCTAAGTGGGAGATCTGCTTCACCCTCTCCCTCTGCCTCTCCTCCAGGCTTGTGCTTTCTCTCTCTCTCAAATAAATAAATAAAATCTTAAAAAAAAAGTTAATATCCTAATGAGGACAAATAGGACACCATTCCTTCAAACTAGAAATGCCACAGTAGTCCAGAGTAGAAAGGAAAGAGTGGACTGAGAAAATGGAGATTTTTACAGAAGAGAGGGATGTAGGTGATATGGAGGTTATTTGGAAGAACATACCAGACAGGGAAAAGTCATGAGTTATCCCACAAGTACTGACTTTGCAAAGTTGGCAAATGCCATCAGCCAAACTAGCACTGAACTGGTGCATCAGATTCATTTGGAAAGCTTTTCAAATATCGTTGGTTCCTGACCCCATCCTTGAGCCGCCCCTCACTATGAGAGTCTTAGGAGTAGACATTTTGCTAGGGCTGCTTTGTCTAAGACATGAATTAGTAAATTTGTGATCTGAGGTTCAATTAAAGAGTATTTTATGTGCAAAGAGTATCAAAAATTAAGAGACTTGGGGTGCCTGGCTGGCTCAGTTGGTAGACCATGCAACTCTTGATCCTCAGGGTTGTGAGTTTGAGTCGCAATGTTGGGTGTAGAGATTACTTAAAATATAAAATCTTTCAAAAAAAAGAGACCCACTTGGGGAGCCTGGGTGGCTCAGTCGTTGGGCGTCTGCCTTCGGCTCAGGTCATGATCCCAGGGTCCTGGGATCGAGCCCCGCATCGGGCTTCCTGCTCGGCGGGAGGCCTGCTTCTCCCTCTCCCACTCCCGCTGCTTGTGTTTCCTCTCTTGCTGTGTCTCTCTCTGTCAAATAAATAAATAAAATCTTTAAAAAAAAAAAAAGACCCATTTTCCAAATTGAATAATACATAAGAATTGACATTGGGGTTGTACTTTTTTTTTTTTAAGATTTTATTTATTTATTTGACAGAGAGATAGCAAGAGCAGGAACACAAGCAGGGGGAGTGGGAGAGGGAGAAGCAGGCTTCCCGCCGAGCACGGATCCCGATGTGGGGCTCGATCCCAGAACCCTGGGATCATGACCTGAGCCAAAGGCAGACGCTTAACGACTGAGTCACCCAGGTGCCCCTGAGGTTGTACGTCTATATAATTAACCTGGCATTTTATTTCTGAGAGAGAGGGGCACTATAAGAAGTGATAATATGTAGAAGTCACAGTTATCTTTCTTTGACTAACTTTAAATAATCTAATTTTACCTAACTGCTAGTTATAAATTTATTCATCAAAAATTCCTTTAAATCTGTATTTTCTAATTTTACTACTCACAGGACAAATACCTTTCAGGGCTCTGTCTCTGTGGTATTGTTGGAGATTCTGACGTGGCAAAGGGATTAAGAACACAGGCTCTGGAATGAGACCAGCTGTATTTAAAATCCCAGTTTGGCCACATACCAACTGTATGACATTGGTATTTAATCTCCTTTTTCCCCAGTTTCCTCATCTAGAAAATGAAAATATGATAGTAATTACCATAAAATAAGATTGTTAGGATTAATATTTGGGGTGCCTGGGTGGCTTAGTTGGTTAAGCGTCCGACTCTTGATCTCAGCTCAGATCCTGATCTCAGGGTTGTGAGTTCAAGCCCTGTGTAGCCTACTTAAAAAAAAAAATTTAAAAGGATTAACAGAGATGATGCCTGGTTCAAAGTAACCACTCAAATTTTGCTATTATTTAGTAATAAAAATAATAGTATTTGCTTTTTTAAAAACAGCACTCTTGGAGCAGCATAGAGGATAGAATTAGAGAAGGCAAGAATAGGTATAGGGAGATCTGTTAAGAGGCTGTCACAATAAACCAGACAAGAAGTGATGCTAGCTTCAGCAGGTATGGAATGCCACTATAAGTAAATTTGATGGGGGTGCCTGGGTGGCTCAGTTGGTTAAGCGTCTGACTCTTTGATTTTAGCTCAGGTCATGATCTCAGGGTCATAAGATCGAGTCCTTCATCGGCTCTGCACTGAGCGTGGAGTCTGCTTAAGATTCTCCCTCTCCCTCTCCCCCTCCCCCTGCCCCACTCATATGTGCATGCACACATGCTCTCTCTCTCTCTCAAAAAAAAAAAAAAAAAGATTTGAGTGATATTTAGGAAGTAAAATTGACAGAAAACTTCATAATGGAGTAAATAGAAGGTCACTGAGAGAGAACAATAGATGTTTTCTTAAGTTTTTGGCCTAATGGAGACCCAACTTCATGGGGCATGGAGGATGGGGCTAGAAGGGATTTTCATGATTTTAGTTTGGGATATTGAGTATTTTAAGTGCAAGGTGGGATTTAATCATCTGCATTTTTAAGAAGCTGCTGAATGGCTGGAACGTATACTACAGTTTAAGAACTGTTGGTATGAAAGGGTGCTTGGGTGGCTCGGGTGGGTGTCTGCCTTCGGTTCAGGTCATGATCCTGGGGTCCTGGGATCGAGCCCCACATCAGGCTCTGTACTCAGCGGGGAGCCTGCTTCTCCCTCTGCCTCCGCCTGATGCTCCCCCTGCTTGCGCTCCCTCTCTCTGTCAAATAAATAAATAAAATCTTTAAAAAAAAAAAAACTGTTGGTATGAAGATAAAAAAATAGTTGTAGACATACAGTTGGATATTTGGTCTGAAGTTCAGAAGAGCTGGGGTTGGTATATATAAATTTAGAGGTGGTCTGCATATAGAAAGTAAATGAAACCACAGGTGAGGATGACCGTGTGTGGAGCAAGAAGAGAAAGGAATCTAAAATTGACCATGAGAATTCCAAAATTTAAAAGCCAGGAAGAGGAAAACAAGCATGTATGGAGTGGGAAGTCTAAGACAGAAAAGTACGCAGTGGTAAGGCAAGAAGACAAAGGAAGAATGTGCTTTAAAAGGAGAGACTGGTCATGGAAAATGAGCACTGTAATTATCCATGAGACTTCCCAGCATGGAGGTGTATAGGTGACCTTTTGAAGAGCTGTTTGCAGGATGGCGGTGGGTACCCACCTGAAGAGTGAATGGGAGGTAGTGAAATATAGTCATTTTTTAAGATGTTAGCTTTGATCGCTGGACAGGGAAAGGGTTTGAGGGAGGGATTTTTTTTTTCCCTAAGAGGGTGGAAACTTGATTGTGTTTAAGTGATTTACAGGATGGCTGCAACGGAGTGGGGTGTTGAATACATGAGGATAATGGATAAGATCTCTAAAAGAGTGTTGGGATCCAAAGCTTAAGTGGAGAAATTTGTCTTAGTTATGAGGGGAGGCAGGTTTAGTATAGTAGAAGGGAACAAAGAAAGGAGTGGATATGGATATAGAGGAAAAAAACACTGATGCATTGTGTGATAATGCAGTTTTGGTGACCTGGAGTCCTATGTTATCTGTTTCTGGGGAAGTGATGGGGGTTTGGACAAGAGGCCGCATTCCTGTCCAGCCTGCTCTTGGGCCAGCCCAGCAGTGTGCTTGGCTTTTGTTCCCTTTGGTCACTAATCCTTTGGCCTCATGTAAGGCCACCCATCCCTTCCCTTTCTTGGGAGTGAGACCTGGGCCCACGTACCCCAATGCAGTGTATCAGCTTAGTTTCAACTTCTTGTCTGGATTTCTTTTACTTTTTCTCCAGGCAGGGAGACCAAAACTACAGTTAGAGTCCTGATGAACTATTTTAGTAACCATGTAGATATACTATGTTTTTCTTTAGAAATCTAATCTATAGTTTTCATTTTTGACAACTGAGTTCTCTAACGTACATCAACTATAAATCTTTTATTTGTCAGAAATTTGTTAAGCTCATACTGTGGGCCAAGCACTATGCGAGGTACTTGTTACAATGGATTAAATAAGATATGGCTGCCTTAAGGAGCTGGGAGAGACTACTACCATCACACACAGCCCTGACTTTTTTCTCTTGATAAATGCATAGACCTTAGAATATCTAGATCTAAATCCAACTTCTTTTTGCAAAAAAAGAAGGCCAAATTATTATCTCTTTGAGAATATCGTGAAAGGGATCTTTAACTTATGTATTATACAACCCAAATGGTCCCTTTTCCTTACACTCTGGTATTTTTTCATGCTGCTTCTATAATTAAAATACAGAACTTTCCCCTCCTGAAGTAGAGTGTTTTTACTGTACATCAGGTGGTCTTAACCTGGGTTTTGTAGATATCAGGATTGGTGGTTTTGTGAGTTCATGAACCTTCCCAAATTATATGCAAAATTGAGTGTGTACATATGGGTTCTTAGAGTAGAAAGAGTCCTTAATTTTTTTAAACTCCCAAAGAATTCTGTCACACCAAAATATTAAGAACCACTATATTAAAATCCTTATATAATAGGTTTTGTCCTATGACTGTTTATACTGTTTACTATTTAGATTTTCTCACAAGAGGAAAGGGAAATTGAAGATGTAATATTTCATAATTGCATTTCTTAAAATTATACAATTTTAATATTGATACAATTTTTGAAATTAGCATTTAAACATTAGGATTTCTTTTTACATTATCTAACAATATTATAACCATGCTGCGGTTTTTGTTGCAAATATATTTTTTGTTTGTCTTTAGTACCAGGGCCCTCTGGTGATAATGGCATCAGTATTACCATGATCTTGATGGCCTGGATGGTTATTGCAGTGATCTTGTTTCTACTGAGACCTCCTAATCTAAGAGGATCCAACCTAACTGGCAAGCCAACCAGTCCTCATAATGTAAGTGTTGTGGATTAGAAATTCATTTGGGTAGGGGATGGGTGTGGCCTGGGAATGGAAGGAGTTTGTTTTGACTGAAATACTAGAATTAGCAAAGGGAAGATTTAACTCAAGGAATAAGTTCTTCCAGTGTAGTCCTTGTAGGTCTTGCAACCCCAAATGGCTTAGTCTTCATGCAGTTACATACAGAGAAAAGCACAGACCAAAAAGTAGCCCAAAAAGAATTTTAAAATACATTCCAATCTTCACTCACATTCCAGTCTTTCTTTAACAAAAAAATGATCCAGTTCGTAATAATCCATAGCAGTATTTCTCAAATCTCAGTCTCCCACTCCCCAGTTCCTCACAGTTGATCCCTCGCTTCTCATGGTTCCAGCTCCCTAAATTCTCTTACTAGCTACAGTTCAAATGTTTTTCCCTCTACTTTGTTTTCTCCCCTTCTGTCCTAGCTGTTAAATACAATAGAGGCCCTGAGCCTATCTGGTGAAATCCCATTTTCCTCTTGTTTTCCCATCCAAATTCTCTTAAACTCTTCCAGTTCTGCATCATAATAGGTCAACTGAACTGACAGAGGAGAGGTAGGCTCATTCATGTTGGTAAATCTTGATAGTCATGATTACTACCATTTTTAGAACCTTCTAGATAAAAAATATGATAAATAAAGTGACCCAACAGGGGGTTTTTGGTGCTGTCTTTAACAGAAACTTCATTGAAGGATTTCTTGTAATTGTTTTGAGAACCGGTATTTATATTTTTTTCTTTTCTATTTGACTTGGGTGTTACCTCTTTAAAGATATTTACATGATGAATTCACTTGTTGAACACCAAATTATCCCACTAATTCCCTTCTCCAACCTTCACCATGTGGAATTCCTAAAATAATTTCTTTTTTTCCACAGTCTTGTATTGCTAATATTAGAAGTTTAGTTAAACTATTTCCTTACGTAGGAGAAAGCAAATCTGGAATGATAATTGGTCAGTGCTTTGATTTGTTTAGGAATAGAACATTTAGATATGTAGCCATGCTGACTTTAAGAAAGAATGCATCATTAGCACTATGTAAAAATTTGCCTTAAATTTATTTTTTGTTTCTCTTGGAGAAGTTATCCATAAAACAGCTTATATATTTTCTTGATAAGATGCTTTCTCTTCAGTGTTTTTTCTTACTTTCTAGGTACAGTTTTATTACTTTCATATCAAAGAGCAACTTCCTCAACATTTGCATTTAAAGAAATCCAACTTAATAAGCTGGCCTAGAAGCCATCAAAAGGGACAGAAATTTAAGATGACAGCTCCTAAATCTTACTTCATTGTAGGCCAGCAGTTCTTGGATAGTAGGCCCACTGCCCTAGGAGTAAGCAAGAAAACATACTAATTTCAAGTAGAAAATTGACCACCCTCAACCAGGGCCACATATAACATGTCAGAGTAAATAAATGGAATCTTCCTGAAGATTCCTAAAAGCTCTGATCTTTCCTTTCCAGTTCAAATACCTTCTCTTGCCAGTAACAAAGATCAGCTCCACCTGGTTTAAACAAGTGGCTGTATTGGTTTACACATTAGAAAATCCAGAGTGGTAGGGTCAGGGTTTAGATTGTTTAACAGTATCATCAAAGACTGACTTTCTTTCTTCATTCCATCAGCTTCCTTCCAAAGTGGGCTCCCTTTGTGGTCATAGGATGCCTGCCAGTAGCAACTGGAGCCACATGCTTCCTCACTGACATTCTGTAGTGAGAAGCAAAAGTCTCTTCTTTCACTTTGTAATGTGCCCAGTCACCTTAAGCAAGAGGGATGATACTACCTTTATTGGTTTAAATGTCATCTCTGGAGCTGTCAGGGAGAGCAGTTTCATCCATATCATTTTACTGTTACATAGTTTTCCTTTCTTCCATGCCACAGGGAGGAATAAGACAAACATTGGTGAATTATAGTGTTAAGCTAGTGTTCCCTTGTGCAAAAACATATGAAAAGTTCAAATAAGTATATGATTAGGGATTGGAGGGTGGGGGGAGGCATGCTGCTGAGTTCTTACTATATGTGTTAGATTGGTGGCACTGGGATTTAAGAAGTCAATTCCATAATTTCTGTCTTTCTAACACCAGGGACAAGATCCACCAGCCCCTCCTGTGGACTAACTTTGTGATATGGGAAGTGAAAATAGTTAACACCTTGCACGACCAAATGAACGAAGATGACCAGAGTACTCTTAACCCCATTAGACTGTTTTTCCTTTTGCATCTGCAATATGGGATGGTATTGTTTTCATGAGCTTCTAGAAATTTCACTTGAAAGCTTATTTTTGCTTCCTGTGTTATCACCATTCCTTTTTACAGTATATTTGAGTAAGTGATTATATTAAAAAAGTTACATGGGCTTTTTTGGTTATCCTAAACTTAAACATTCCACTCATTCTGTTTGTAACTGTGGTCATAATTTTTTGTGATGATTTCTGGCCTGATTGAAGGAAATTTGAGATCCTGCCTTTAAATATTTTAAATAGTTTTGATAGGTTTTAAAATTACTTTTTTTTTTCATAAGGTATTTATAAAGTTACTTGGGGTTGTCTGAGATTGTATGAAAAAAAATTAGAACCACACTGTATTTGCATTTACCTTAATAGTTTATTTGTGGGTGGCAATTTTTTCTAGTTCTTGGGACTGTGGCAGCCTTTGGAATATTTTACAAATCTGTGTCATCCACTATAACTGGCTTGTGTGGCTAGAAAAAGAGGGGAGAAGAAATGAAATAGTTGTTTACTAAGTTTTTTATTCCCACAAAAATGTCTAATATTAGGAGAACTTTAAACATGATTTAAATATAGTGGGTGATTTACAGTCCATTATAGCCTTATAAGGTTCATGAAAGGAGGAAAAAGTTAATGCTTCCTGCCTTTGCCAGGTATATTTTATACAGTAATAATTTAAGCTATAATTTATTTGTTAAATGGGTGCCTCTCAGGAACCTTTTCTGTTCTAACACTTCCCTGCTAAATGGAACTATCTTAAATCTATATTGGGGGCCTATTTGGTTACTGACATTTGAATTCTGTTTACTTATTTAGTCTATTTTTTTCTGTGAAGAAAAAATTGAGTCTTTTGTTATCCTTCTGACTTCAGAAAATATTTGATGGTTTACTCCAAGGGAAAAGGAGGAAAATGAAAAAGCAATCAAGGATCTTTTTCTCACCCCTTATCTCATTCTTGTTTAGTAATAAGATGGATTGGGGCGGGGAGGAGCATTAATAAAAGTAAAATTTTGAAATGTATAAAAAGTAAAAGTTTGCATTGTTTTGCTCAGTTTGAAAGAAAATGAATACAAATGGGATAAAGACAAGTCTGCATCACCTATGTGGTTATGGAATTTTTTTCTTAGCAAGTGATTACAGGTGGTTTATGGGGGCTAGAAGATATTTTGCTATCAGTGTAAGGATTTCCCCCCCAGATCAGTCTAGCTTTTCACTGTATCGATCTGAGAAATTACTTGTATGAATTAATAAACTTCTCTATATCATTGTACTGTTAATAGAGTCTCTGATACAATTGTGTGATGCTCCTAGGGTATTCTTTTCCCCTTTATTATTATATACATTTTAGGCCATAAACTTTTTAAGGGCATCATTTCATTATGTAATCCAATATTGACTGCTTGCATTCCTTCTGTGCATCTTAGCTTTGTACTCAACTTCTTGACATAGTATCACCTACTCTTAATTACTTGTGGGGTAATTGAGGGGTATCATAACACAGGTAAGTCAAATCTTGGATAAGTGAGCACCATAGATTTAAGGTTCTTCCTCTTGCTGTGGCCTCCTGGAAGCCTTCCCAGCTTTATAGCTGTTAGAGTATTCAATGCAGAAAGGGTAGGGATGGCCTGAGATGGAGTTAAATCTCTATAAGCATTCCCTTTTCTGCTCTTGGTCCCTGGACTTCGAAGGCTTGCACATACATCCTACCAGTCTGTTCTCTAAGCTGCTAGAAAGCCAACCTCTGGCAGAGATACTGATGCATTCACTGAATCTATGGCTCACAAGTAATTGAGAATTGGCTTTGGTTGAAGCCAGTTGGCCTTGACATGGAAACAGAATGTCTAGTGTTAGAGACTTAAAATCTAGGTTCTTATTCCTGGTTCTTCCTTTCTGTCACATACACTTAATTGACAGTACATCTAGTATATTAACCTTTTCTATATGGACCATCTATTTAATTAGCAACAAAAGTTCCTAGAGAAGTATTTAGTTTTGGTTTTTTTGCTTGTAAAATTTCTCTACATTCCTGAGAAAGACCGCATACTACTGCACATAAAGTGTTCCTGTTAACCTAACTAGTAATTTATATTATTCTATTTAATTCCTAAAGCTTCTACATGTGGCCTTTTTATTGAGCACACTCTTGTTCATTACTTGGCTTATAAACATTCACCGGAACTGTGGCTACAATCATTTTAAATAATCTGGAAAAAAGAAAGATAAAGCTTCATATTTTAATCACTTTTGGCTCTTAAATAATCCACAAATAACATTGTTTATTTTGTTTTAGAGTCATGTAATGTCCCTTATGCAAACTAATGTTTTCTTGCTTTCCATATGGAAAAAGTTAACATTGGAACAGTGTATAGTAAAAGATTTTATCATGTATCTATCCAAGCACTATCCCATGGCCAGCAAGTCATATTTTAAATAACTTGCAGAGATTTTCTGAAGTAACTATTAGGTTCAGCTATTCCATTGTTACTTTTGGTGTCATTGTGGTATGTGATGTGATAGTGTTTATAGAATTACTGAATTCTTTTATTTTCAAAGGAACCTTGGAAATTTACCACTCTGAATTAAAGCCTGTCACTCTAAATAAACGTGCTAAAATTTGACCAGCTCATCAGCTTAAGACACAAAACAGCAACTTGAAGGAGAAATGAAGAGTTTACACATAAGGGGTTAAATTTTTGTTGTTGCAATAGTAGGTTTAGTCTTAACATAATATTTCTAAATGAAAAAGCATATGTATTTGTTACCATGTCTGATGATTACTTTGTTAAAAGCGTAAGTGGTCATGTGATTGTACTAAATATTAATTGCTGTTTTTAAATGTTTAAATCATGCCAAACAAATCATGTGTGGGCCATCCAGGGTTTATTGTAATCTTTTACTGAGTACTTGGACTGGGATAAAGGGCTTGTACTATGCACTTTTTATTAATAAATAGAAAACGTTAGTAATGTATTGTTTTCTGTTTGGCTTTTGTGGGCAATGAAGCTAGCATCTTTTGCTTAGTAAAATGTTTACATCCTTTATTACACAGTTTCTTTGTAAGACTTTTTACCCCTAACTAAAGGCCTTCCACAGGGAGAACTTTAAGTTACAAGAAAAATATGGATGTAATAGCAGCGGGGCCAATATTCAGAAGTAGGGATTCTGAGAATCTCTAGGAAATTAGGTTACAATTACATTGCTTTACTTATTCTTTTTTTTATTTCTTCCTAGAATACAGGGTTAGTAGACATTTGCTTTGAGGGAATAATATGCAGTAGTGTTAATTATATATTTGAGCAGACCTGTGTTACTTCAAAGGAGCTAGACGTGTAACTATACTGAACACATACAAAAGTAAAGATTTGCTTTTGTCTTATGACCTGGAATGCACCCAGATACTAAAGATCATTAATCCCCATATACCTGTAAAAATGGTAAAATTGCTCTGGCATGGTCAGTGTCTCTGTGATACTTAAGTGTTCTTTAAAATAGCAAAATTTGTGAAATATATAATTTCCTGGAGATAGTTAATGATTTCAATCTAAAGTTTGTCATGTATGTCAGTAGATACCTGAACCCCTGTAAAACTAAGTTTTCATTAAATGGTTCTGCGATACTAGTTTTCCTCCCAGAAAGTAGAATTCTCATAAAATAAGGTTTTTTTGCTTCTTGCCATTTCATCTGATAGTTGTCTCAGTTCCAAATCTCAGTTTATAAGAGTCAATTTTTCTGCCCACCCAGAAGTTCCATAAACACCAACTACTATTATCATGCTCACATTTTTTTTTTTTAAGATTTTTTTTTATTTATTTTTTGACAGAGAGAAAGACAGTGAGAGAGGGAACACAAGCAGGAGGAGTGGGAGAGGGAGAAGCAGGTTTCCCGCCAAGCAGGGAGCCTGATGCGGGGCTCGATCCCAGGCCCCTGGGATCATGACCTGAGCCGAAGGCAGATGCTTAACGACTGAGCCACCCAGGCGCCCCATCATGCTCACATTTTTATTTTTTTAAAGGTTTTAATTATTTATTTGAGAGAGAGAGAATGAGAGATAGAGAGATAGAGATAGAGAATGAGAGATAGAGAGCACGAGAGGGAAGAGGGTCAGAGGGAGAAGCAGACTCCCCGTCGAGCAGGAGCCCGATGTGGGACTCGATCCTGGGACTCCAGGATGACCTGAGCCGGAGGCAGTCGCTTAACCAACTGAGCCACCCAGGCGCCCCATGCTCACTTTTTTAAAAACTGGAGTTATCAAAGTGATCTTTTCCCCTGGGCGACTTAACTTTTACTATCTTTTCTCAAACAAATGGACTATGTTGGTTCAATAAACATTTCAACAGTGTTTATATTTGTTTATTAACTTTCTGCTTTAAAATGGGTGTTATTCAGAATTATGTTACAGAAAACATTTTAAACCTTCAGATGCCAAATTAAGATGTCTTTTGAAAGGGAGGTGGAAGGAGATGTTTGGGAAGCAGGGAATAGATAGGGATGAAGAATAATATGTGTAGTTTTAAGAATAAAGCAACTTTCATATCAAAAAAGAATATTCCCGGGGTTCCTGCGTGGCTCAGTCGGTTGAGTATCCAGCTCTTGATTTCTGTTCAGGTCATGATCTCAGGGTTGTGGGACAGAGCCATGCTTTGGGCTCTGCACTCAGTGGGGAGTCTGCTTGGGATTCTCTCTCTCTCCCTCTTCCTCTGCCCCACCCCCTCTAAAATAAATAAATCTTAAAAAAAAATCATATTCCCTTGTATAACCCTCTGCTTAGTTCCAGGAAATTTAGGAATGAGAAAAAAATATTTACAATCCCTGCAATACTAGAGGCCTGACCTCTTAAATATTTGGTTCCCATACTGCTCATAACCTCACTCAGGCTATGTTTTGATGATTGATGGATTTGAACTGCATTATTTTTATTCATTTTGAAGAACTGAGCAGAATCAAAGAGCACATGTACTACAAAGCAGATTCAGCATTATGGAATAAGTCTACTATGTTGTTTTTTATAAGATTTTATTTATTTATTTGAGAGAGAGAGGGAGAGCACAGAAGGAGAAGCAGACACCCCGCTGAGCAGAGAGCCCGATGCGGCACTCGATCCTAGGGCCCTGAGTTCATGACCTGAGCCAAAGGCAGATGCTTAACTGACTGAACCACCCAGGCACCCTTCTATGTTGTTTTTAAAGAAATGAATCTGTTGGGATCCCTGGGTGGCTCAGTCGAGTGTCTGGCTGAGGTCATGATCTTGGGATTGTGAGATACAGCACCCCACCTCCTGCTCTCTCTTTGAATAAACAATCTTCCTTTTTGAAAAAAATAATGTTAGTCACTCATTAATTCAGTGCCAAAGGAAGAAGCACTGTATATACAAAAGGCATTACAGACTGTAATTCAGGGAAAGCCTGAATGCAGCTTTCCCTGATAACTAATTAGTATACAAACATTAAACTTTTGAAGTCTGGGTGTCTTAAAGGGGATTCCTTGCAATTAATCCAGCAAGTAGAATTTTGTGGTGACAACATATAGAACAGATACAAATCTGACACCAGAACTCCCAACAAATGGATTAAGATTTATATCCTTGCAAATATGCTTAGCCTTCATTTTAATCTAACAACCTTTTCTTAAAAACTACATTTTATTCTGTCCTGTCTCACATTGTACCTCTATCAACATTCTTTTTCCCAGAGGGTTTCACTAACAACAGCCTACTGAAAGCTGGTGTTCTCAAGCTTAAAGCATGATTCCATTAGCCAAAGCTAAGTCAGAAAATACGAGGCTTAAAGAAAGCTTAAATAAAGTATAATTAAAAATTATAATTTCTCCATTGAAGAATGGGTAGTAATTTTCTCCCTCCACAACATTCAAGGAATTCTTTTCATTGTGTCACAATAGTTTAAGAACTCGAAAGTCACATCAATAGGTATAAACTGGCAACAGTTAAGGTTGAATAATTGTAGCAATATTCTTGTAATAAAAATAATCTTGTCAGGGGCGCCTGGGTGGCTCAGTCGTTGTTTGCCTTCTGCTCAGGTCATGATCCCAGGGTCCTGGGATCGAGCCCCATGTCAGGCTCTCTGCTCGGCAGGGAACCTGCTTCTCCCTCTCCTGCTCCCCCTGCTTGTGTTTCTTCTCTTCGCTGTCTCTCTCTCTGTGTCAAATAAATAAAATCTTAAAAAAAAAAAAGAATTGGTTATTAACATTTAAAAAATAATCTTGTCATAAATTCCAGTGCTAATCTACAAAAGTATCAGTGATATTGAAAGGGTGTTTTTGTGTGAGATAGTTGACAATTGGTGTTCTTTATCACTTATTCTGTAATTTTTGTCCAGTTCTCAAACTATCTTAATTGTAGTGATTGTCTCATGTGCAATAAAAATATGTAATATTGCCAATAGTGTTTAACCTTGGGGAAAAAGTGCTCAAGTAGCTTTGTGTGAGGTGGGCTTAATGTTAAGGTAAAGAATTCATTCAGATCTTTAGCTTTTCTTACATCTAAAAGATAGCATATAGTTTATAGCATATAGCTTATAGTGATTCTCAAACTTTCTGGTTTGGAGACTCCAAAGAATTTTTGTTTATATGTATTGTTATATTTATCAATATATACTGTATCCAAAATTAAAACATTTAAAAGCATTAAGTATTTTAAAATAACAATAAACCCAATACATATTAATATAAAGGTTTTTATGAAAAAATAGCCATTTTCCAAAATGAAAATTTAGTGAGAAGCGTGGCACTGTTTTACATTTTTGCAAATCTCTTTAATAGCTGGCTTAAAAGAAGGCTGGGTTATCTTTTTTTTTTAAGATTTTATTTATTTGAGAGAGAGAGTGGGGAGGGGCAGAGGGAGAGAAAATCTCCAGCCTACTCCACACTGATTGGGGAGCCCCATGCGGGGCTTGATCTCAAGACCCCAAGATCATGACCAAGAGCCAGACACTTAACTGAGCCACCCAGGCGACCCGGGTTATATTTCTACTTCTGCATACAATATGTTACAACACGTTCCCTTCTTGTGAAACTGTGTGAAT